GTATATAATATATATATATATATATATATATATATACACATTATATACTTGAGTGCCTTAATTAGTGTACGTGTGACTGTTCTTGCATGTCATTTTAGCGGTTCATTTCTTTTATCTAACGGAGTTATTTGTTGAGGCCATTGTGCACAGACTTGATAACACACAAGGGAGATGTAAACATGATTGTCTTCCTCTCCTCTGATGCAGATCTACTATACTGGAAAGTATCAGAGCCTCGGTATCAAGCAGGGTGGCCCGTCAGCTGGGAAGTGGGTGGAGCTGCCAGTAACGAAATCAGCTAAGATTGTGCAGTTCTCAGTGGGCCATGATGGCTCCCACGCCCTGCTGGTGGCGGAGGATGGGAGCGTCTTCTTCACGGGTTCCGCCAGCAAAGGGGAGGACGGAGAGTCAAGTATGACGGAAATTATTATCATGTACATACTTGATCTGCGATAATGATGTTTTAGCACATAGATCAACCGCTTGTGATGGTGTCTGTTTTTAGCAAAGAGCAGGAGACAACCAAAGCCCTACAAACCCAAGAAGATGATCAGACTCGAGACCAAGATGGCCATCTACACGGCCTGCAACAATGGCAGTAGCAGCATTGTCACTAAAGATGGAGAGCTCTACATGTTTGGCAAGGATGCCATTTACAGTGACAGTACCTGTAAGTGCCACCTGCCAGATGCCCGTTAAAGATGGCAGGGATGAAATGATGGCCTGTCATAATGCTGTCTGTAAGACTGTATATCTGTCTCCTGTGGGAGAGATTATTTAGAGCCAGTACATGCTCCACATTCACAAAAAGGGGGATATATTTAGAAAACACCATATTTGGATGTTCAGACTAAGTACATGTTTTTTTTTTCTTAAAATGGGTTCCCTGCTAGCTTAACTTTGCTGATATAGCAAATATTCCTGCAGTTCATGCTCTACATACGGGATACTCAGTTTGCAGTTCATTGAGTCATATTTTTTAATAAAGAACAGTTTTAGGATATGAAACCTCTTGCTGCATATTCATATTCATATGCATATTGAGACGTCAACTTTAGGTTGCATCCACACAAAGCCAGAGCTTTCCCTTTCCAATCTTTTTTTTCCTCCTCTCTCAAGAAATATCTGCATACACGCGAAACCATGAAACCAACACAAAACGATGTAGTATACATGCCAGACCAGTATGTGGCGCTGTAATTCTGCCACAGAGATACACTAAAACGGAGAAGACCTGGTCTATGCGCATAAACCTTGCGCGCGGTATACAAAGAACATGGAACAATACATTTATTAATCTGTGTTAATGTTAGTTAATAAAAAGACAATCGTTCAGTGTTTGGTCATGTTGTTGTTGCTGTTACGTGACGCAGCGGTGTCTGACTAGGGGCAAGACATGGGCTAATGACATCATCGTTTCACGAAATATATGGATTCGCTGTCCACACGAAAACGCAAGAGTGGCGTTTTCAGATTTATCCACTCTGGGACCCGGTTGCAAAAAGTAGCGGTTTCACGCTCCCAAAACACCGGATCCATCTGGACGAAACACCAATCCGATACAACATTTTTGCGTATACATCTAAAAACGCATCTCCGTGTGGACGGGGCCTTAGAGAGCTAAGAGAGTTTTATTTTTTCCAGATTCCATTGTTATAGTGATTAAATTAAAATTGTAATTTAAAAAAGCTTAGTAACTGAAATCATGAAACTTGCATACAATTTAACATCAATACATGTTTAAGCCTTATGAAATCAGTTGTATTTTTCCCCAAATTAGGGGTGGGCGATATGGCAAAAATATCATATCACGTTTTTTTTATTTTTATATCACGATTCACGATTTTATCGCGATTCTTTGTCATGTTGGTTTTACTATTTTGCAAGGTGTCTGAGCCAAACTAATTTCCTGTTATAATTTACTATTTTCCCTATCCCTTTAATGATAGTTGGCAGCATTTAGTTCTGTCCCTTTAAGAGCTGCACGCATCTAATATACAGGCACGCATCCGTTTTTCTCTCAACTGATTTTCATTTTAGACATAAGCAGCTTAGTCTATATGTAAACCTTGTGTGTTTTGATTATAACTTAGTCCAGTTATAATTAAGACGCTGTTGACAGGCTTTTTAGTGCGCGCGCTTCGGGTGTAGCTACGCGCTGAAAGAATGATCCATGGTCAAAAATCGTGATATCGCACACCCCTATCCCAAATTCTTTTTATTTTTCCAAATTTCATGTTTTCAGTTTTAATTTTTCTGAATTCCATTTTAATGGTTTAATTAAATGTTAATACTCATAAAGCATGTTTAATCAACTGATTTTATAAAACCTTACCTATTTAATAATTTATTGCAATTTTTACAATAATAGAGCCCTATGAATTGTTTATCTTTTCAGAAATTGTTGTCAGTTATAATTGTTTTCTGGAATTATGATTTAATACAAATTTATTATCAAAAACAGTGTTAATCAAATGAAGGCATAAACCAATAACAGTTTAATTAAGCTTTTAAAATGAAATCAAATGAAAATGTAAAATTCCCTTGAATTTTTTGACACACAGTGCTGCACAACAGAGGATACTGTTAAAATTAAAACATTCAAGAAAAAGGTGATATTTCTTAAAGTTTAATAATTATATATTTTAAATAATAATAATAATAACGTAATTACTTAAGTGCATTATAATTTACAATAGGAATATATTTATGTCACAGTATCTTTAAGTTAAACCAAACTTTTTTTTCTTGTAAATTACATTTTTATGACTGGATTCCATGTTTCTGTCAGAGTTTTCAAATCATTTAGCAGCAAGTATTTGTAATAACAGACACAAAATGTACTGATAAATTTGCCTACTATCTTGATTGTGGATCATCTGTGACTGGACAGAATTGTAATCCGTTTGATTTCATGTATACAAAATTGGCACATTTGAAAATTTACTTTGCACTTAATCGTTCTGAAAAATGAATAAGCTGTGATTAGTGATTACACCAAAATGAAATATCATCAGGCCATTTTATTCACTAACTCTGTTTGAAATGTAAGTAACTATTCTCTTGCCAGCTGATTCCTTTTAAACTATTATGGGAGAATTATTGTAATGATTAATTTGTTTCCCTCCTCTCATCATCACAGGTCAGGTGTCAGATCTGAAGGGACACTTTGTAACTCAGGTAGCCATGGGGAAAGCTCACACCTGTGTCCTGACCAAGAGCGGAGAGGTGTGGACATTTGGAGTGAACAACAAGGGCCAGTGTGGTCGAGACACTGGAACCATGAGCCAGGCAGGGAAGGGTGAGGACTTTACACGCTTTTCACACTAAACATGACAATTATACATTAGAAAAAGCCCTGAATATTCCTGACAATCTTCAGAAAATGACAACAAATAGTGTGATAGTTAGGTCATTTTTCCTGATCTTATGTGGTGCTTCTTTCACAAAACTATAAAAGGGAAAAGGTTATTATTACAGTTGATTCTGACATGCTATGATCATTCACAGGCTGTGTGGTCAGCGGCGTTTGAAAGGGTGTTTGTGATATTTGATGTTTTCTTGCCGTAGCGTTTGGAGTGGAGAACATGGCTACCGCAATGGACGAGGACTTGGAGGACGAGCTGGATGAGAAGGAGGAGAAATCTATGATGTGTCAGCCAGGCATGCACAAGTGGAAGCTGGACCAGTGTATGGTGTGCACCGTGTGTGGAGACTGCACCGGGTATGGAGCCAGCTGTGTGAGCAGCGGCCGACCAGACAGGGTGCCAGGAGGGTGAGAGAAACCAAACAACACACAAACAGAGTGATTATTACATACAGCACCAGACATGTTTACACAGATCATGAATATCCAGCTATTGACAATATTCAGAATAAGAAATTGACATGAAAACTGTTTTGTTTTTTTTGGCCCACATAAAGTAATGTAATGTGGTTCAAGTGAGAGCTGGATGAGAAGGAGGAGAAATCTATGATGTGTCAGCCAGGCATGCATAAGTGGAAGCTGGACCAGTGTATGGTGTGCACCGTGTGTGGAGACTGCACCGGGTATGGAGCCAGCTGTGTGAGCAGCGGCCGACCAGACAGGGTGCCAGGAGGGTGAGAGAAACCAAAATTACACACAAACAGAGTGATGATTACATACAGCACCAGACATGTTTACACAGATCATGAATATCCAGCTATTGACAATATTCAGAATAAGAAATTGACATGAAAACTGTTTTGTTTTTTTTGGCCCACATAAAGTAATGTAATGTGGTTCAAGTGAGAACAAGTAAAAAGAACTGAACTCTTGCTCTTGAAAAGACATTAGCTCATTATTTTAAGAAATAGTTTACCAAAAAATGTGAATTTACTCACCCTCAGGCCATCTGAGATGTAGAAGAGTTTGTTTATTAATCTGAACAGATTTGGAGAAATGTATCATTGTTATCACCAATGGATCATCTGCAGTGAATGGGTGCCATCAGAATGAGAGTCCAAACAGCTGATAAAAACATCACGATCGTCCACATGACTCCAGTCCATCAATTAATATCTTGTGAAGTGAAAAGCTGCATGTTTGTAAGATTTTTTTTTTAACTTCAAACCATTGCTACCAGCTAAAATATAGAGAGTCCTCTATCAATAATATTGCTTTCTCCAGTGAAAAGGTCGTCTTGTCTGTATCAGGAGAGAAATATGCACAGATCAAGCACTGTTTACAAGCAAAAACAGTTCCTAACAAATAGGTCTGTTAGTTTGTTAGTTTTAAAGTGAGACTGCAACAAGTGATGGACTTTTTTACTGGAGAAGTTTTATTATGGGATATGGACTGATGTGCTCTCCAGAAGCGACCGTTTAAAGTTAAAACATCCTAATGATGGGTTTATTACAAACGTGCAGCTTTTCACTTCACAAGGTATTAATTGATGGACTGGAGGGGTGTGGATTATCGTGATGTTTTTATCAGCTGTTTGGACTCTCATTCTGACGGCACCCATTCACTGCAGAGCATCCACTGGTGAGCAAGTGATCTAAATCAATTCTTA